ATGATGGTGCTGTCTGGAATGTTGTGTGTTGAGTATGATAGGCTCCTGGAAGGTAATAGGATAGAAGTAGAATGACTCAAATACCCCTGAACCATAAAGCTGAATAAAAGGCATTTGGAGAAAGTCAGGCTTCGTAGAGAACAGACACACTTGCATGTGTCCATTTCAAAATTTCCTGCCATTAGCCACATCGGAATTTCAGAAATCCTCCTGTACATCTACCTCTTCCCTAAGAAGACTACATCTCGTTCTTCAGTATCATCTACTTCTTGCATTGTCATAGATTGGAATGGTCTGGTTTTAAATATTTACCCTGCAGATGGAGTTTCCCACTGCTCTAACAAACCATCCTAAAGTGACCTCTTATGGCATACATGCCACTTGGCATTAAAGGTTGGATAGGCTTCATACTGATGGGTTTTTTTTTACCACATCAGCGTCTGTTTTAAATGTGTGTGCTTTTCTGTGTTACTTTTGATTTCACAATATAATTTGTACAACTTTGCTCAAATGTATATTCTCAAGTGTTTTATCTGGAAAAATGAAGCTTATGTGACCTTGAATTCAGAATCATATTTAATAATGTAAAGTACCTTTATTAACACACACATCACTTTGTTCCAGAAAAGGACTATGATTTCTTTCATTATTCTGCTGATGCCGATGACGAACAGTGTAACTGAATGAACATAATAGAGTGGGTGGATTAACTAGCCTTGCTTGCAAATGAATTAAACATTGTTGGTTGATCTTTTGAGCCTGGGACAAGTTGAACTTGCAACGTATCCAGACTAGAACTGGTGAACTGAAATGCATTCCCCAGTTCACAACTAGCTTCACTATTACCAGCTCAACTAGCAGTCGTTTAAACATTGTACTGTGTTGGTAAGGTTTACAGAATAACTGCAATGTGACCAACTCCAGTTTCCATGTGGTATGGATTTGAATTGTAAGTTTCACATCAAACACAGGGATGAATGCCACTTGACAAAGCAGTTTGATATGTTATTTTATGCCACAGCAATGAAATGCATTGACAAATTCATGCTTTGGAATAGTGTAGGTTTGAACTGTGAATCGTATTGTCCTTTGCTATAATCTATATCTTGAAATAATTTTAAACAATAGACTATCTATCTCTCTTTTTAAAGATGAAACCAACTAAGACAAAAAAAATTTTTGAAGCTTTTCATCTTGTAATTTATGCTGACAATCAATTTAACATTTGCAGACAGAAGGAACATATTCACACGTCAGCCTTCCTGCTCCTATGATGCTGCTTGGCCTGCTGTGTTCATCCAGCTCTACACCTTGTTATCTCAGATTCGCCAGCATCTGCAGTTCCTACTAGGTCTATTTCTATGTGATTGTTAATGGAGTCCCGTGTTGAGAACTAGGCTTCCAGGAACTCCCTTGCATGCCTGGTGTTCCCTTGTCCCAGTATAGTCACTAAAATGACTAAAGGGAATTTCTGGAAGCCTGGTTCCCAACGCAGGGCTCCATTAATAAACAGTTCACCAACTTTATCAACACCTTTCACTCCAATCTCATATTCACCTGGACCATCTCCAATACCTCCCTCCCCTTCCTGGACCTCTCCATCTCCATTTCTGGTAACCGCCTCAACACTGACATCTATTTCAAGTCCACCAACTCTCACAGCTACCAGACCTTCTCTCACCCACCCTCCTGCAAGAATGAGATCCCTTACTCCCAATTCCTCCTCCTCCACTGCATCTGCTCCCAAGATGGGGTGCTCCATTCCCAAAATCCCAGATGCCCTCCTATTTCAAGGACCGCAATGCCCCTGCTCCGGTGATCAAAAATGCCCTTAACCGCATCCCTTGCATTTCCCACACCTCTGCCCTCACACCCCCACCCCGCAATAAAAACAAAGACAGAATCCCCCTGATCCTCACGTGTCACCCCACTAACCTGCGCATTCAACATATCTTTCTCCGCCACTTCCACCACTGCAAGCCAACCCCACGACCAAAGAGATATTTCCCTCCCCACCCCTATCTGCCTTCCGTAGGGACCGCTCTCTCCGCAACTCCCTCGTCCGCTCCACACTGCCCACTAGCCCCACCACCCCCGGCACCTTTCCCTGCAACCGGTGGAAGTGCTACACCTGCCCCTACACCTCCCCCTTCACCTCCATCCAAGCAACCAAAAAAACCTTCCACATCAGACAGAGGCAATGTGCTAATGTGGTCTACTGCATCCGCTGCTTCCGATGTGGCCTCCTCTATATTGGTGAGACCAAACGGAGGCTCGGAGACCGCTTTGTAGAGCACCTGCGCTCTGTGCACAACAAATGACAACACCTTCCAGTCGCGAACCATTTCAACTCCCCCTCCCACTCCCTGGGTGACGTGTCCATCCTGGGCCTCCTCCAGTGTCACAATGACGCCACCCGGAAACTGGAGGAGAAGCACCTCATATTCCGCCTCGGGAACCTACAACCCAATGGCCTAAATGTGGGTTTCACCAGTTTCAAAATCTCCCCACCCCCCAGCCTCATCCCATGACCAACCCTCCCTTTCATCCCTGCCTCCTTGACCTGACACAACCTGTCCATCTTCTGTCTCACCAATCCACTCCTCCCACCTCACTGACCAATCCCCACCACTACCTACCTGCACTCACCTATCACCATCCCACCTACCTTCCCCAGCCCCACCCGTCCTCTCTATTTATTTCCCAGCTCCCTTCCCCCCCTCCATTTCTGAAGAAGGGTCCCAACCCGAAATATCAACTTTCCTACTCCTCTGATGTTGCCTGGCCTGCTGTGTTCCTCCAACTCCATACTGTGTTAACCCCACATAGAAATAGATCCTGTACACAGACCGTCGCTAAAACAACAGAACCAGGAGTGACAAGACCCACCATACCAGAGGATCATATACATTCAGAACGGAGCAGAACACCAACACTTCGATTAGAGGTCGCACTGATGGTGATGCCTAGAATGATAACAAAATGTCTGCTCACCATGGAACAAGAGCTCAGCGAGCAAATGAACAACCACATCCACAATGTGAGCTACAAATTTTCGCTAAGACCTTCAAAAGGGCTTGTATTCCTTTGCATCAAGAGGATGAAGCACTGATCTAACATGTGGTGTTTAAGATGATTTCTTTAAAAAAAAAGTTTGGTAGGATAGATAAACTTTTTTTTTCTCTCCGGTGAGGAAATCAGGTAAAAGGAAGCCTAGCCTTAACATTGGAGCTAGGGTCAAGGAAATCAGTAAACACTTATTCACACAAAAATTCGCAAATGTCTGCAACTGTCCCCATGAAGGTTATGGAGTTCTCAAAACCATGTCTGATCGATTGTTACTGGGTCATGAATATTAAGGGATGTAAAACTATAAATAAGGTTAGGATGCAGATTAACCATGATCTAATTGAAAGGTTAAGCAGAATTGAGCAGTTGAACATCTTTACACGACCTTATCTCAAGCTAGGATTTACTGACAGTTAAGTCTTGGGGAGTTATACTAACTTGGGCCTATCTGCCATGCCAGGTGAATAATCCTGAACTTATGAGCACAAAACCCACCTGCAGTCAATATTAGGTCAGCATTTGGAGTTATGTAAGGTCTAATCATTTGGCATATCATTTCAGAATCAAGTCACGCATAAAGAGAGGTTGGATAGACTGGGACTTATTTCACTGGAGCATAGGAGGTTGACAGACCTAGTAGAAGTTTATAAAATAATGAGGGGCATAGATAGAGTTAATGTTAGTTGTCTTTTCCCTAGGGTGGGAGATTTCAAAACTAGGGGTCACATTTTTACGGTGAGAGGAGAGGGATTTTAAAAAGAGTTGAGGGGCAATTTTTTTACGCAGTGGGTGGTTCGCGTGTGGAATGAACTTCCTGAGGAAGTGGTGGACGTGGGTATAATTACGACATTTAAAAGACATTTGGCTAAGTACATGAATAGGAAATGTTTGGAGGGATATGGGCCAGGAGCAGGCAGGTGGAACTAGTTTAGTTTGGGATTATGGTCAGCATGGACGGGTTGGACTGAAGGGTCTGTTTCTGTGCTGTATGACTCTCTATAAAGGATCATATACATAGATTTTATTGATCTAAATCTCCTATGTATCTCAACAGTCATCTTTCAGTCTAGTTTGATCGCAGAGAATGAATCCGTTTTTGAGTTTCTCAGACTGCGTTATAAGCTGAACATCTAGTGCGTCATTTCACACAGTGTCTTCTTCATGCTTGCTCCAGTTGGATGACAGAACCTCTATGACTAACCGACAAACTGTCACTTTGTGCAAAATAAGACAAAACTTAAGAATGTGACACAGGAATTAAACAATATTTACATATTCATTCCCACACTGGTCTTGGCTGAGAGGCAGAGGTGATGCTGATGCAATCAAAAGTCTTAAAACGGATGGTGAGCCCAGATCTCAGTAAGATGTTCACTGATTAAATGCTCAAGTAATTTTTCAACCTTTCCATTGTCCCTCTCCATAATCCTGTCATCCCTGATGTACCAGAAGATAAAATGGCCTCAGCAACTCCTCATCACCATTGTAACTGCATCTCCCATCTCCTCTCACTCTCAAAATCACCTAAAGAATACATTCTTCCATTTTGTTTCTGCAGCAATCAGAAATTGCTGGATCTACTTCCATATTTTCGTCTGGCTTTAAGACAACGTGTTACTTTCCTATTCGAAATCACCTCCAGAACATTTTTTTTTCCTTACAAATGACCACAAATACCATGGAGCTTTGTTCAAAGTGTAAAGGGGTTCAGTGATGGACAAAATGGTGTCTCCCAGCTTTAAATGATCTGATCTCAAGCTAAGATTTACTGACAGTTAAGTTTTGGGCCTGTCTTTCTGCTGTGACAGGTGAATATCCCTGAAATTGCGAGCACAAAACCCACCTGGAGACAATATTAGGGTCAGCATTTGGAGTTGTGTATGGTCTAATCATTCGGTATATAATTTCAAAATCACATTACACATGAAGGATCATATACATAGATTTTATTGATCTAAATCTCATTCATTTGTACAGGAATGTAACAGCAGCTTGTTTGATATAAACATCCATTATAACACAGCTCCTATATAATTGGAATGTAGGAAGAGAGGTTTAATTAATATGTTCAGACTGCTTAATACAACAGGAACTGTTGCAGCCTCAAGTAGCAATTCTTAGACCTGTAGCAAATGCTAAAATATGCGATATATGCAATAGAACAACAGGAAGAGAATACAATAAGTTTTTAAAAATTAGCATTCGAGGCTCTGCAGACTGCAGAAATTACCTTTCCAGTAACTGACAGGACTAGGGAAAATTTGTGAAAGGCGTGGGTCCTGTTTTTAGGCTGTGTCCATCAAGACTCTGAGCTGGGAATTGTAGACACTGTTCCCCTCTGCCCTCCCACTCCCCATTGCTGACTTCGGTCAATGGGATATTCCCAGGAAGGGTGCTCACTCTCGTCTGATAACTGAAGGATCAGAATGACATAGAAAATTAGCACAATGATCCCTACGATGGATTGACATTAGACAATGTTACAGTTGCACGTAGTGAGTGGACTTTATAACGCAGGTGATAGGGGTCACAACTGTTGGCTGGGCAGATGGTGAATGCTCTGTAGCATCTCCTATGGAGAAGGCAAACTCTATTAAGGGACGATCTGCCATTTAAGTGGCCATCAATAGATCAAGCTGAGGTGGAGAGGTGGGAGGGCAAAAATTTCACCTGCCTCTCTGAATACTGCCAGCTAGTAAGGGACCAACAGTTCCCCACTGAAGGCAGTACCACCAGGAGCGATGGTGCAGACAATGAACCCGCCAGAGGCCCGGAATCGATGAGGGGCACAAGCCTTAGTTGAGCGAGGGTGGGGTCAAGAGGGAGGCATAGCTCTCAATGGGAACCACCTTCCCAATCGCTGGTCCCTGCATACATGCCAATGACCCATCTCCCCTGGAAGCCAGCAAGCAAACACACATCATGGTTGAATACCAGTGACACTGGGATAAAGCCTGTAAATGATCATTAGTTGATCACCTAAGGGCCTCCAATGGCATTGCGGTGGGAAAGCCATCCTGACAGTGTCATCCCAATCTCCACCCTCCAGCCCAATTAAATGGCCTCCACCTCCAACCTTGCCTCGAGGGAAGGCATTAAATTCCACCCAATGTGCGTACGGGCTCCCTCACAAGCATCCCTTTTGATTAATAGTGTAGGCTCCTCAAATAAAATAACCAGAAGAATAAACAGCATGTGGGCACTGTCACAAATCAAGGACAGCATTGGGACAAACACAGAGAATGCTGGAGAAAGTCGAGAGTTTCAGAAGTTGTAAAGAAACGTCGCACCAGATTCTCTCTCGACAGATGCTGTAGAGTTTCTCCAGCATTCTGTATTTGCTTCAGATTTCCAGCATCTGCAGGATTTTGCTCTTGTTCTAAGTAGAGCACTGAGTTAGGCCTCAGCAGACTTCATATCACTGCTGGATATGTGTGTCACTGGCAAGGCCAGGATTTATTACTCAACCATAGCTGTCCTTGAAAGCTTCTGCAACTATGGTAGTCCATCTGGTGTAGGTCGCTCAAATGATTCACAACAAAGACTTCAATTTACGATGAGCTTCACTGGTGGGGTAGCACGGTGGCTCAGTGGTCAGCACTGCTGCCTCACAGCACCAGGGATCTGGGTTTGATTCTACCTATGGGTGACTGGCTGTGTGGGGTTTGCACATTTTCCCCGTGTCTGCATGGGTTTCCTCAGGGTGTTCTGGTTTCTTTGCACAGTCTAAAGATGTGCAAGTTATGTGGATTGGCCATAGGGTCCAGGGATGTTTAGGTTAGGTGTGTTAGACTTGGGAAATGCAGAGTGACAAGAATAGGGTAGGGATGTGGGTCTGGGTGGGATGTTCTTTGGAGGGTCAGTGTGGACTTGATGGGCTGAATGGACCAAGGGCAGGCTCTAATGCTAGAATCATAATGTACTCTACACCACAGCTAAAGGATCATTCCTTAGTGTGAAGTTGATCAGACTGGGAACCTGCTTCTCAAAGTTGCATAGTGACCTTTTTTTAAAGTGAATGACTGTTTGTATTGGCTGTTACCAGGTTTGGTGTGATGCCATCCATGGTGAAATAGCTGAACAGCATGTGTTGTCCAGGTACACACACGGGAAGAATGGCCATTGTGGGTTGACCTAGATGCCTTCAGAATACATGCACAAGAACACAGCTGAGAAATGAGAGTAGCTTTAACAAGTTCCAGTCTACCTCTTGTTACTTGAGCTGCTGAGTCCTTAGAAAAGTGTCTGAACCAAAGAGTCAGAACACAGCATAGAGTGATTTTTATCCATAGTGCACATCACTCTGTAAAAATGACAAGGTGCTACTTGGAGAGAACCCAGTCCAGTTACATACCTAACCAGGTAACTTCGATTCCACCTAAGTCTGCCATTTGGACAGTAAGGGCACATGATGCAACTGATTCACAAGGAGGAAACTGGGTGTGGGTGAGATTGATGACCACACACCAGGACAAATCCTCAGCTCCCACCCCAAACCATTCCTCCTCAAGTAAAAGATACACTTTTGGGTTTTCTGCTTCACACAGTTGTATCTAAGTCCCAGGTCAGCACAGAGGCTCCAGAGAAGGTGATACCTGCAGTAAAATGTGTCGTGGTGACAGCTCGTTATATACACAATTGGTCAGAAATTCTCCAAAGTCAGCAGCTACTCCTGACTGTGCCAAGTCTTCAGTTTTAGTTACATTCTCTCTGTACCCAACTGGACCAGGTGGGAGTATTCATTTATTCTGTTTGGATCAAAAGTCAGCTTCAAGGAGTCTAAAAGACAGAAATATGATGGTATTTTAATTGAGCCTCATTTTTGTTATTGTTAGGAATTATTTGAGTATTTCTGAAAAAAAAACACATTTTATCATGATTTTTCAAATTGCACTCATCAGGACAATTGTGCGTTCACAAAAAAAATACCAATTTTATGGGAAAAGTAACATTAATACTGTATGAGAGGAGAGTGGTGACTGGTTGGTAAGTGACTGATAGAGACGTTGCCTTGGAGAAAGCACCGTTTGATGATCACTGACAGTTAATTGTCGGGCTTTGTTTAAATTTTAAACCAGGCAAGTTGACTGTGTTTGGTCAAGGCATTGTCCTGAGAAATGAGCCAGCAAACGGCTGCTGAGCTGTAACAGGCACATCCTACAGTGTCCTGAGTTTGCCAAGAATTTAACAGACAAACGATTTAGGATTGTCAGTCAGATACAGCATGGCACACTTGTGTATGCTGGAGGCTGCATACATACTATTACACAGGACCCTGTCCTTTGCAGAAAGGGAGAATATGTACACACACAGACTCCCCCAGTTACTGCAAACAGACTGGGAGAGAGAGTTGTCCAAAAAAGATGAGGAACAGATTCTGTAGAGATATAGTTGAAGTCAGAAATCATTTTAAAGTGTTTTTAGAAAACTTGAGACAATTGAATTTTCTGTGTGACTGACACAATAGGTGCAGCTCAGTGATATGGTTCACTGCTAATTCTATACAAAGGATGGTCCGTGCCTCTCAGTGATCCTTCTGTCTGCCACCTGTTCTCCTTCAATTGCTCCTTCTCCTCTTCTTTGCTTTTCTTTTTCTTGTTTACTTCCATTTTCCTTAGAGAGAGGTTTCGGACCATGTCCATGCTGCACATGATGTGATATATTGTGATGTTGTATGACAGTGTGCATTGTAACATGGCATTTGCCTTAGATTTTTGGCTTCTGATGCAAGAAGCATGTATCTCTTGACAGCTCCTTGCCATTCTCTCTTATGCTCTTGAATTCCCCCTCCCCTTCTCGCCATTCATCGCCTTCACCATATTGTACTTTTCACACTATCTCTGAACCACATATGTTCTGTCTTCCCTATCCTATCTTTTCTCTCCTCTCCCTTATCGCTCCCTCCCTACTCTTTGAAACAAAAGGTAAAAGGGAAAAATCAAGTCCCTTCGAAACCGTCTCCCTCAGACACTCCTGGGACGGGGACAGCACCAGGTCAAATCCAGAGTAAAGCTTACTCTACTCTTTTTAAATAGAAAAGTAAATTCTCCACGACTCTGGAACTCAAAGGTCCCTTGACACTGTTATACTCAAAACAAAGTTCCTTCAACTCTTTTGAAATAAAAATGATGTTCTCTCAACTCCATCCCCATCAAACACTCCTGGGGTAAGGACAATCGGTCCCTCCCTATTCTGTCCCTACAACTGGTCAAAGGTTTCCTTTCACATCCCTCAAAACCATAATTCCCGACCTACTCTTCCCATCGCCTTACGGCTGGGAAACCACTGAAGTTAAAAGGCACCAGGGGCAGGTTGCCCCAGGACAGGTGAGGGTGTGAGGTCCATGGTTCAAGGACATGAGCAGAATGGGGACAGGACAGCTGGAGATCCATGATACCTTGCATCAGAGAGAGCATAGCTGGAGAAACAATGAACCCTACACTTCACTGATGATACATTATTGAAAAGAGAATCATTAAGTCGCATTCTAGATGTTTTTTTTAATAAAGTTAACTGAGAGGAATGTGCAGTAAGAAATAAACAGAAATGGCACGTTTACCTGCAGCGCCTCCTGGAGGAACCAGCCGGGGAGGCGTTCTGTGGAGGAGCAGCAACGCCATCCAATGGTGGCTGAACTGAAAGGTAATTGTCAGTATTACTGGCCTTGTAACCTAAAGCAATGCTTGGCTGCCACATTATCAAACCACCCTTGTAATCTAAAGCAATGCTTGGCTGCCACATTATCAAACCACAGGCCTGGGAAATTCTTGTGACAACGGCAAGTGTGTGCTGGGCACACTGGTGAGATTCTGCGTGGGCAGGGCTACCTTTAGTGAAACAGGTAGAACTCCACAAGCGTCGCTTGAGTTCCCATGATTTCTGAATCGCTATGAAGTTGAAAGACTATTCCAAAAGGTAACGACAGAACAGAGCCAAAGTGAGGTACAGGGACTCCCTGTGTGGGGAGATACACTCCTTTATTTCCATCAGTGTATGGTTGTTTTGGCTCCAGAAGGGCCGTCAAAAAATATGGCTTTTCACAGAATCATTACATTGCGGAAGCAGGCCACTCAGCCCATTGAGTCCGCACCAACCCTCTGAAGAACATCCGACCCCATAACCCCACATTTCCCATGGCTAATCCACCAAGCCTGTGCACCCCTGGATAATTTAGCACGGCCAATCCCATCCTAACCTGCACGCCTTTGGACTGTAAGAGGAAACCGGAGCACCTGGAGGAAACCCACGCAGACATGGGGAGAATGTGCAAACTCCACACAGACAGTCACCGGGGGCTGGAATCGAACCCGTGTCCCTGGCGCTGTGAGGCAGCCTCAGTAACCATTGGGCCACTGCGCCACCATTTTTCATTGTCTTAAAGGTTTAGTAAAAATCTCTTCATTCAGACAGTAGAGACCAGGCCAATTAGAAATACAGAGTGTGGGATAGAGGTAACTTTAGCAATCCTCCATCCTTCCACCCTGAAGACAATGGGACTAGAAGATTCCATATCCCATGAGTAGACAGATCCATGCTGTTGTGTATCTCATGAAATCTCCTCCCACTGCCTCCAGAGAGCTGAGTGTGACCCCGACAGGAGTGGGTGGGGAAGGTGTGTCTCACCTTTCAACATATGGTTGCAAGATCTGTAATGAGCTGGAGCCTGCAGTATTTGGCTGTAAGGATAACTGATCTGAATGAACTAGCTAATCATTTGAAAGCTTACTTTTTTCCATGCTAATGGTTAGCGGACCACCACAGTACAAGAACTGTTATTAGTGAACCGATTCATGTGATGACAATAGCTTTGGACAGCAATGGAAACAATTGCAGGATGAGACGTGTGAGGAGGACAAACCCCTCAGAGAACAGGAGCCACCATGAAGCCAAGAAGTTTAAAGAAATGGTATTCGTGTTGTGGAAAATTCTGGCTTGCTTCAAGGTTTCTCAATCCTTCAAGCACAAACACTTGATCAGATGGACATTTTTGGCATCTATCCTTTATCCCTCACAGTTGAACAGCATATAGAAGGGTATGTATATAGGAGATCACAAGGGGGAAATCATTTGCAGGGACTACAGACCAGGAGATTGCCTGATATATGGGGGACTTCAGCATGAAGAAAGGTTGGATAGACTGGATTTGTTTTCACTGGAACGCAGGAGGTTCAGGGCAATCTGATAAAAGATTATAAGATTGTGAACAATGTGGAAAGTATGAGGCTTTTTCTCCAGGGTGGAGGGGTCAATTACTAGGGGGACACAGGTTTGGGGTGTGGGAGAGGTGCATGGGTGGGAGAAGTTTAGAAGTGATGCGCAAGGCAAGTTTTTCATACAAAGGGTGGTGAGTGCCTGGAACATGCTGCCAGAGGAGGTGGTGGAAGCAGACACAATAGCAGGATGCAGTAAACACCTGGATGAATACATGAATAGGGAGAGAATAGAGGGATATGGATCCTGTAAGTGAAGGCAGTTTTAGTATGGAAGGGCCTGTTCCTATGCTGTATTTTTCTTTGCAACAAAAACAAAAGTTGCTGGAGAGGCTCAGCAGACCTGGCAGCATCTGTGAAGAAAAAATCAGAGTTAATGTTTCGAGTCCAGTGACGCTTCCTCATTACAGGACCTGAAACGTCAACTCTGATTTTTTCTTCACAGTTGCTGCCAGACCTGCTGAGCTTTTCCAGCAACTTCTGTTCTTGTTCCTGATTTACAGCATCCGCAGTTCTTTCAGTTTTTAGAATGGATGTCCACTTGGCTGACCTCCTTATAATCTCTACAGCTGCAAAAACTTATGGAATGCCCTGAAGTTGTGAAAGATGCTACAGAAATTCAAATTCATTTCTTTTCCCCATCGGGAAACTGAAAAAAAACTTTCAATTCGCTGATCACAAACCTAAATGACCAGCCCGTTAAAAGGATAAAGTTTCAGAGAGATAGCCATCTCCTGGATCTATGCCAGCAGCTGGCAGTCCTGAAGGAGGTGCACAAGGTCTCTGATTGGTTCAAACCGTAAAAGGTACTCACATCGTCTAAGCTCTTTCCGAATCTTGGCTTCTGGGGGAAGCAGAGAGGTTCGTGGAGACACATCCGATAGTCGAGCAGTTTTCTCACTGCCTGTATATAACAAAAGAGATGGAAGATGGAGCTTATTTGTGCATTGTGGATCCTTAATCCAGGGCCTGTGGCAGCTCTCTCTCTTGTTCAAACCTCAATCCACAATCGTAATACTCAGTTCTAAAGGACACTGGGTAAGCTAAGGTCTCACCTGCCCTCTCCAGTGCAGATAAAAGATATTGGTGAGACCATGCAGGCGCTATGACAATGGATGAATGGACACCATGCACCAATCGCCAGACAGGTATGTTACCTCCCACTGGGGGAGCACTTCAGCGGTGAAGGGCATTCAGCTTCTGAACTTCGGCTAAGCGTTCTCCAAGGCGGACTTCAGGATACACAACAACACAGAGTCACAGAGCAGAGACTGATAGTCAAGTTCCATACCCATGAAGACAGCCTCAGTGGAGATCTTGGGCTGATGTTGCAAAACAGGTGACAACACCACACTGCTCTATATCTGTAAAACCTTCCTCACTGTCCTGTTTTGACACCATCACCTGGGTAAATTGTTATGATCTCACTACCTTAATTAGTTTGTACAGTTTTGGATTACTTATCACTTTGGTTAGACCTTCAGCATGTGACTCTTATACCCATCATGCTATTTCCAGTCATTTAGCTTGTCTCCAGCATCACACATTTTTATATTTTTTGTAATTATCTCTCTGCCTCATTTAATCAGATTATAGGTCATCCCTTCACTTGTTATTCAGCTGTTGACACTTTACTCACACCATCTGACACTTTTGATCACCTGCAGAGACTTATTATTCAGCACTCCACAACACCATTTATATGATCCTTTGATCTCTCTGCCTTTGATCTGACTGCCCATAAATTCTGTGCCTGTGTGCTTCCCTCTAACTTTACCTGACGAAGGGGCAGCGCTCGGAAAGCTTGTGATTTCAAATAAACCTGTTGGACTGTAACTTGGTGTTGTGTGATTTCTGACTTTGTCCCACACCATTGTAGCACTGGCACCTCCACATCATGGATAAAACGTTACATAGATGTGTGTAGGAACAGGAATGTTCTCTTGTTGTCCTGGTCAATGTTTCTGAGGCTCACCAGAAAAATTGTCAACAATAACATTCTGCAACGTACTGCCCTAGATTCTTCAGGAACTAAAATTTGAGGCACTGCTACAGGCAGGTGGAAAAGTTGTTGGGACAATAAAAAGATTGAGATTTTTTTAAAACTGTCTTTGAAGTCTCTTGTGTTCTGTGTTAACAAGGGGCACTATATTTTCTTTTATTATTCATTCACAGGGTGAGGCATCTAGGCCAGCATTTATTGCCCATCCCTAATTGCCCAGAGGGCAGTTAAGAGTCAACCACATTGCTGTGGGTCTGGAGTCACATGTAGGCCAGACCAGGTAAGGATGGAAGTTTCCTTTCCTAAGGGACATTAGTGAACCAGATGGGCTTTTTGCAACAATCAACAATGGATTCGTGGTCATCATTAGACTCTTAATCCTTTTTTTTAAGTTGAATTCAAATTGCACCATCTGCCTTCGAACCCACGTCCCTGGAATATTCCTGGGTCTCTGGATTAATAGTCCAGTGATAATACCACTAGGCCATCACCTCCCCCATGACAATCTTAGAACAAATTTTCTGCTCACCCATTGCCGTGGGACAGTATTTCCCACAAGGCTGGTCATGTCAGGTGGGGCAGTGGCGGAAGCTAGGGCAGATGGAGATAGGAGCTCATGTGATGACACCCCAAAATGTACCAATCAACAATGACAACCCTACTACTTCCTGTTTTGACGCCAAGACTGGATGATGACTCACCTCCCTCACAGAACACGTGTGCCCCCACCATCCGCCAAATTGGATACTCCAGCAGCCATTTTGCATCTGTAAATCAAGCCCAGTGTCATTGAATTTCTAGACCTACATTTTACAAGTATTTAATTGGCTGTGACGTCCTTTGTAACATTCCAAAACCCGTGAAAGGTAATGTATGAGTACAAGTAGGCTCTGAGATAGTAGGAACTGCAGATGCTGGAGAATCTGAGATAACAAGGTGTAGAGCTGGATGAACACAGCAGGCCAAGCAGCATCAGAGGAGCAGGAAAGCTGACATTTTGGGCCTAGACCCTTCTTCAGGAATCATCATGTGACTGAAGAAAGAGGAGAAAAGTCAAGAGGGCTGTCCCCTCCAACTCTTAATGGATTGATTTATGAGGAAATGCTGAAACAACCAGGACACTTCATCCTTGCAAGGGGGTAAGATGGAGCCGAGTCCATAGAAGTGTAGAAGACATTAAATAGGATTGATACGGTTAATTAAGAGTACACTGGAGTCCTGGAGCAAAGGAGAAATTGCCGGAAACTGCTAACTTAGAATTATTGCTGAGGAAAATCCACAAACAAGATCTGGATGGTTTCAAAACAGGCAGAAGAAGGTTTTTTTTTTATTCATTAATGGGATGAGGGTGTTGCTGGCTAGGCCAGCATTTATTGCCCATCCCTAATTGCCCAGAGGGCAGTTCAGAGTCAACCACATTGCTGTGGGTCTGGGGTCACATGTAGGCCAGACCAGGTAAGGATGGCAGTTTCCTTCCCTAAAGGGCATTAGTGAACCAGATGGGTTTTTTCCCCAACAATCGACAATGGATTCACGGTCATCATTAGATTCTTAATTCCAGATTTTTTTTATTGAATTTAAATTCCACCATCTGCCATGGTGGGATTCAACTGTGATTGGTACATTTTGGGGATGTCATCACATGACCTGCACCACTGCACCATTGCCTTGTGGCCAATGTTGTCCCACAGCAATGGGTGAGCAGAAAATTTGTTACAGTCAACCCTGGCCAGAAATCCCTCATACAAAAGAAAGTAGCTACATCAAACTATCACATCCCAGAATAATCTCCCAGCTCAGCTTCAATTGGTTCAAAGACAAATTTCCCAGTCTGGTTTTACCTCAAATAGGCCTTAGTTACTAAAAGAGTGTTTCATCCATTCCAGAGATTACATGGTCTTGGAGGTTCGTGTATTGTATGATAAATAAGGGGCAGATTCGTTGTTATCTTTTGCTGTATGTCATTGTTGTCTCCTCCATGCCAATCTACTGAATGTAACACCCCCATTTCACCAACATTTCGTGATCTGGGAGCATGGAGGAAGTGGGAGGGGGAGGTGGGGAGATTCAAACCCTCCGAATGTGTCCCTTTAAACAGACCTGTTCTGGGATCCACTGACCTCTGACCTCTGTGCTCTTCAGTTTGCGTTTCATAGCTCGACGTAGGCACTCCTTCACCTGGGCAGAAAGTTCAGTGGCAGCTTCGCTGGCACGTGCCAGTTTGAAACGTAGGTCAGACTTTAACTTCGGGACGTCAGAGACCTGAGAGGAGGAGCTGAAACAAAGGGACTCCTGAAAGGAAGCACAGAACTGGAAGAATGAAGAACTTGCATTCATATAGCACTTTTCATGACCACAGAACATCCTAAAAGTCAATGAAGGCAGTCAATTTGTGCACAGCCACCCAACAAACAGCAATATGAAAATGACCAAGTAATTGATTTGTGATATTGTTGGAGTGATAAATATTGGCCAGGACATCAGAGAGAAGTCCCCTACTCTTAAATCATTTAATTGGTTTTATTGGTTCACAGCACATCAGTTTCACTGGCTAGACCAGCATTCATCACCTGTCCCTAATTATTTTTTTCCCCTCATAGAATCCCTATAGTGTAGAAACAGGCCCTTCGGCCCAACAAGTCTACAACGACCCATCCTCCAATAACCCACCTAAGCTCCACATCCCTGAACACTATGGGAAATTTCCCATGGCCAATCCACCGAGCCTGCACCTCTTTGGACTATGGGAGGAAACCCGCGCAGACACGGGGAGAATGTGCAAACTCCGCACAGACAGTTGCCCGAGGGTGAGATCAAACCCGGGTCCCTGGCGCTGTGAAACAGCAGTGCTAACCCCTGAGCCACCATGCAGCCTTAAATATCCTGGAGAACATGGTGCAGAGCTATTTTCTTGTCAACCGTTGCAGTCCACCTGCTGTAGGTTGACCCACAATGCCCTTAGGGAGGGAATTCCAGGATTTTGACCCAGAGACACTGAAGGATCGGCGTTATATTTCCAAGTGGTGTGTGTCTTGGAGGGAAACTTGGGGTGATGGTGTTCCTATGCATAAAACAAGCTTGTGGCAATGGCTCGTTGTTTTAGGGGCATGATTCTCGCTTTGGGGATTCCACAGGTTAGATATGCGAAAGGTCCTGGGTTCAAATCTCAGATGGACCCTGATTGTTTGCCTTTGGGGCAGCACAGTGGCTCAGTGGTTAGCACTGCTACCTCACAGCAGCAGGGACCCGGGTTCGATTCCACCCTCGGGTGACTGTCTGTGTGGAGTTTGCACGTTCTCCCCGTGTCTGTGTGGGTTTCCTCCGGGTGCTCCGGTTTCCTCCCACAGTCCAAAGATGTGCAGGTTAGGGTGGATTGTCCATGCTAAATTGCCCCGTAGTGTTCAGGGATGTGTAGATTAGGTGAGTTATAGGGGGATGGGTCTGAGTGGGATGCTCTGAGGTTCGGTGTGGACTTGTTGGGCCGAAGGGCCTGTTTCCACACTGTAGGGATTCTATGATTCATCTTCTAGATAGGCCAAGGGCACGTTTCGATGCTGTATGAGTCTATGATTCTATTCGACAGTATAAACTGCTCCTACCTGAATGTCTGTGGATGTGGTGCCAATCAAATGGGCCATCTAGTTTGGATGGTATCAAGCTTCTTGAGTGCCATTGGAGCTGCACTCATCCAGGCAAGTAGGGAGTATTCCATCACACTCCTGACTTAGAGTCACAGAATCATACAGCACGGAAACACACCCTTCGATCGAACCAGTTCCAGCCAAATATAATCTCAAATTAAACTAGTCCCACCTGTCTGCCCCTGGCCCATATCCCTCCAAAACTTTCCTGATGGTGAATAGACTTTGGAGATGAGTTACCCACTGCAAAATAATGCAGGGAGATGGGCCTTCAGTTTAACATGTCATTTGAAGGACAGTGCCAACAATGTTCTTAGTGTTGTAATGGAACGACAGAAAGGATTTATGCATTAAAGTCTAAGTTGTGAAAATTTTAACACACAACCTTCTGACTCAGAATTGACTGCGTTACTCATTGCATACAGGCCGCTAAATGTTACAGGGGGTGTTACAGGGTTGGACAGTGTGTTCACCCCAAGGATCTTGGATCTGGGGTCAAATCAGCAACAAATAATAATCTCTCTGCTGCCTCTACATGGGGTAGGGGGCCTCAGCAAAGTTCCCAGCAGTCATTGTCGCACACCATAAAACCGAGATTAATGGTACAGGACCAAGGTACCAATCCCAGGACCGACACTCGGGCGGCTGATAAGGAAAGTGAAGACACTAACATAGAAACAGGGGCAGGAGTACACCACAGGGTCACAGAGTCATACAGCACAGCAACTGACCCTTCGGTCCGACCAGTCCATGCTGACCATAATCTCAAACTAAACTAGTCCCACCTGCCTGCTCCTGGCCCATATCCCTCCAAATATTTCCTATTCATGTACTAATCCAAATGTCTTTTAAACACCGTAACCGTACCCACATCCACCACTTCCTCCGGAAGTTCATTCCACACACAAACCATGTAAAAAAGTTGCCCCTCATACCCTTTGCAAATCTTTTTCCTCTCGCCTTATAAAATCATGAGGGGCGTGGATAAGATGAATAGTAAAGGTCTTTTCCCTGGTGTATGGAAACTAGAGGCTGCCAGTGAAGTTGGTGGAAGCAGGTACGTTAGTAACATTTAAGGCGTATCTTGATAGACACATGAATGGGAGGCAAACAGGGGGATAGAAACTGCACATGGGCATTAAGTAATGGTTCTAAATAAGGACTAGGAATTGGCGCAGGCTTGGTGGGCCATAGGGCCTGTTCCTGTGCTGTATTGAACATTATTACACCAGCAGCACATCTCGTTGGGATTTAGATGAGAGTATGTTTATGGTATTGCTGATAACATTGTTAAAATGTAATGCTAATGAACTAAGTGTGTGACCATTGGGTTGTACATTAGTGAATGGTGATGAACGATTTTACCTGCACAAATTTGAAATTGTCGCTCTTATTGGCTAGAATCTCCAACTGCAGTTTCTTTTCGCGCAGCTCTCTACATCTCTGCTCCAGCTGAGTCCTGATGCAGGTCCCCTGGTTCAGGACTGTTTGCTGTTCCCGCCCAATTAAACGAATCACCACTTTCAGGGCCTCCTCAATCGCTTCCGTCATCGCAGAAAATTTGTTGGTGATTTCCAATTCCACCTGTTGTGCCGTTCTCTGCGGTGAGATCAGAAAGAGCTTTAAACCAACTCCATGCCCAGTGCACCAAGCAATGCTTCCTCCAGTCACCCAGTCTCACCCAGCGACATCCATTCCAAACTCCCAGAGCGACCAACTCCCAACTCTCAATTTGAGAAAAGAAGGCTGAGTAGAGGACTTTTAAAAAGGTATTAAGATTTTGATAGTGCAAAGAGCACAGCAAAGAACAACTTGCACAAACACAGATACAGGAGGCACCCATGCAACCAGGAACACACACACAGCCAACACAGACCTGGGAACGCACACAACCATCAGAGATAGGGGAACACACACACAACCAGCACAGACCTGGGAATAGACACATGACCAGTAAAGACCTGGGAACAGACACATAACCAGCACAGACCCAGGGACACACACATAACCAACACAGACCTGGGAACACATACACATAACCAGCACAGACCCAGGAACACACACATAACCAACACAGA